TGGTATTTGGATCGGGATTGCATTGTATTTCTAAATTGCTTTGGGTAGAATTGTCATTTTCACAATGTTGAGGCTACCTATCCATAAGCATGATGTTTTTCCATTTATGTAGATCCCTTTGGGTTTCGTGCAGTAGTGTTATGTAGTTTTCTTTGTATAGGTCTTTTACATCCCTGGTTAGATTTAGTCCTAAGTATACCAGACTGTTTTTAATGAAACAATATGACATGTGACAATATGACCACATGACCAGGGTTCCCTCACATGTCTGATAAGGATGCTCTCAAATGAACAGCCATCCCCCTCTTTTCTGTGTGAGTGAGCATTCTGAGCAGTCCGTGTCACTCATATAGGATATGCTCATTCCAGACATACCCCAGAATGATTTATTCTGGTTTAGCTGCAGAGATTCTGAAAGCTGGAAGGGGACTCGGGTGGCCATTCTCCCTGTCCCTTCACCTCTAGGGACGTGGGAAATGTTTTAATACTTATAAATCTCTACTTTGAGTTTGAATAATAAAGACCTTGTTCAACTGCTGTTTATACTTCTTAATAAGCTTCCGCAGGCAAGGGTCCTGTATGGAGGGGTGTTGCCATTTCTTGAACCACGGCTATGATTGCATTAGGGGTCCAGAGTGGGCTGCACAAAGATGGCCTGAAGGTCTGAATCACTTATATGTTGATGAAAACACAAAGTATTGGGGTGATTTCCTAATGCTCCAGACCCCTCTGTGGGGCAGCGTCATTCTTCACAACTTCACCCTGGCCGTTTACACTCCAGCCATACTAAATGACCTGTGGTCCTCTGATCAGAAGAGGTGGCAGAATCCTAAGTGACACCACTAGAATCCAAATTGTCATTTTTTTTAATGGTCTGATACCATTTTTCATATATTGTTTTAGATTTTATTGTAAAATATAAATAACAAAACAGTTGCCATTTTAAGTGTACAATTATCACCACTATCCATTTCCAAAAGTTTTTCATCATCTCTAATAGAAACTCTGTATCCCTTAAGCAATAATTCCCCATTCCTCCCTCCCCCTACATCTGTAACCACTAATCTACTTTTGTCTCTATGCCAAACGGTCATTTTAAGTTTGTTTTTATTTATAGTTAGGAAACTACTGCTGTTTTGAACCTCTGATTGTGTTAGATGGGTGCTAAAGGTTTACATTGTAACCACCTTACTCTCTGACAATCCCTGGCTCGAAAATAAGTTGCTTATAATTTAGTAAAGTTCTCTGGGGCTGATTACTGACACCTTTTCTCTGTACTCCTTATACTTGTATAGAAATAATAACAGGTAAGCTATGACTTTTTGAATTTATATTTCCCTTCAACGCTCTTGTTTTTCTTTCTAATAATGGAAGAATAAGATATATCTATTTGTACCATTCCCCATCTTAAGATCTGTCAATGCCTCCCCTTTGCCTGTGAGATAAGCTCAAAGCTCATTCACACGCATCCTAACTTCATCTCTGGCCATTTCCCCACCCTTGTGTTCTCCAGCCATATAAAACTACCTACAGTTCACTTTAACCCATTGCCATCGAGTCGATTCCGATTCATAGCAACCCTATAGGACAGGGTAGAACTGCCCCGTACGGTTTCCAAGGAGCGCCTGGTGGATTTGAACTACCGACCTTTTGGTTAGCAGTCGTAGCTGTTATCCACTACACCACCAGGGTTTGAAGCTATGTCAAATCTTCCTTTATGCCTACATGTTGGCCCCTCTGTCTGGAGAAACCTTATCCAGGATCTTTGCCTGACAGATTCCTGTTGGTCTTCCAGGAGCCAGCTTTGTCACTTCCTCAGGAGTCCTTCCCTGGTCTCCCCCAGCTGGGTCCATTGTCCCTCTTATAGGTTCCCATAGAGCTCTTAGCTCTGCACTGTGACTGGCTGGGAGCCCCTTGAAGGCAGGGGCCATGGCATAGTCATCACCATAGTCCCCATGCCCAACATGGATATTGTATGGCGTGAACTAAGTGGCATTTTTGAACTTGTCATTTTGAATGTTGCTTATCTGATAAGCTACATACATTTCACATTCCCATTTGGTTTCTCAAAGTGGAAGGATTGGAAGCCATATGAAATAAAGGATCATGAAGATGGCACAGGACCGGGCAGCATTTCATTCTGTTGTACATGGGTCGCCACAAGTCCAGGGCCAACTTGACTGCAGCTAACAACAACAACAAATCAGGAAATTTTAATCCCACCTGCTGAAAAAAATCAGAGGAGTTCTGTGTTTGGTTATAGATCTTGGAAGCCCGGAAGGCATTGCCCTTGACCATCTTGGCCGCAACGTCTTCTGGACAGATTCTCACCTGGATCGAATCGAAGTTGCAAAGCTGGATGGCAGCCAGCGCCGGGTACTTTTAGAGACCGATTTGGTGAACCCCAGAGGCATCGTAACGGATTCCGTGAGAGGGTATCTTTGCATAAATATGTGTGTGCATCTATTCTGTTTCCATCTGCCCTTTTGGATATTTTCAAATGTCAGGCTCTAATTCCAGCATTATTCTCCTGAAATGAATGAGTACAGGATATAGTTGATGACTTGTAGATATCCACTGTGGGATGCCAGATCATGTATGACAAGCCCCTGCTATCATGGCTGTAACATGTTGTCGATTTGATACCACGTTCTGCTTCAGATCTTTTACCAAAGACTTCATAAGTTGACAGCTCAAAATCGGGTATTTTTCATATGAGTTGAAATGTGCATAAATACCCAAGCTGTATCAACACAACAAGAGTATCAGGGTAGCATATATGTACTCTGGGGCTCCTTCCTGGGGGCAGACTCAGCTGGGAACACCTCAGAGACCCCCTTCTTACGGGTTTTGGCAGTGCATCAACGTTCTCCCCACCCCCTTTCCACGTACTGCAGGTTCTGTATCTTACACACCAATCCCTCAGCTCCCCAACATTCAAAGTCTCTTTTGAGACTATATCCCTTATTCCGTGGCACTCAACTACCCTCTCTCGCTCCCTACCTCCAGCAGCAGGCGCCTTGACCACCACCTCTGCCAGCATCTGCACCTGTGCCTTAGCCCAGTCCCCTGGGTCTGCTGTGCCCTCTGTGCGGTGGCAGCATAGAAGAGTTCCCATGTGTTTATGGCAGTATATTCAACTAACTGAATTTGTTAGTACCACAATGACCAAATTAATGAGCGTCTTTGCAAAGGAAAATGTGTCTTATCACCTCCATATCCTTTTTAGCCATTCTGTTTTCTTTAGCATCTGCCTGTTCCTCATAGGGTCCTTTTAAATGCTTTTGCAAACTTTTTCTCATGCATCTTCATTATTTTTCTTCCTCTTTCCTCTCCTTTCTCCTCCAGAAACCTTTATTGGACAGATTGGAACAGAGATAACCCCAAAATTGAAACTGCCTACATGGATGGCACAAACCGAAGGGTCCTCGTGAAGGATGACCTGGGTTTGCCCAACGGGCTGACCTTTGATGCGTTCTTATCTCAACTCTGCTGGGTAGATGCAGGTGATGACCCCCGGGGTTGGAGCAGTGCCCTTTTTCACCCACTGTGAGCAAGCTCATGTGTACAGCAAGAGCATTTGTGTCTGGGAAGAGAGGATAGAGAAATTTCTTTCCTTCCCTCCGCAAGAACATAAACCTCAGCTGTATGTCTGTGGTCTGAAACATATTGTTTCTCTTAGACCCGAAGCTTAACACTGTGGGGAGAGTTTTCACTCTTCTGAGTTAGTGCCCAAATCTGGCCCAGCTCCTGTTTTTTTTACAACCCAGGAGCTATGAATGGTTTTTATAATTTTAAATGGTTATATAAGTACCTACATGAGCTCTTTGATTTTCCAGCCCTTTAAGAGAAAGCTTGCTGCCCCTGTTCTGAGTAGCACCACATATGGCCAGGGGTCGCCTGGAAGCCTATTAAGCAATTCACAACTTATACATTCCTACAGCTCCCTCTTGTCACCAAGGCCTTAGGCAGGACTGTGAGCCAGGGAAGATACAGGCGTGCAGTCCGTGCTTTGTATCTCGGCCTTGGCACATTCTGGGCCTCCCTCAGCCCAGGGATGTGGGCAGGAGGCTCGGTTGGGGGAGGAACATCAGTCAGCCATCAGGTCTCTGTGCTGGACACTGTGTTAGGTGCCGTGGGGATACAGAAACTGTCAGACGTGGTCCCTGCCCAGTGAAGGAGTAAGGCATGACCAGGTAAATGAGAACATGAGCATTAACTTCAGTCATAACGGGGCATTGACACAAGGCCATGCACAGTTGCTAAGCAAGTGGTACAGTTTAGCCATTCTTAAAAAAATAATGTTGCCATCAAGTGAACTCTGACTCATGGCGGCCATGTGCATCAGAGTAGAACTGTGCTGCATAGGGTTTACAATGGATGGGTTTGCAGAAGTAGATCACCAGGCCTTTCTTCCATGGTGCCTCTGGGTGTATTCAAACCTCAAAATTTTTGGTTAGCAGCCGAGCAAGTTAACCATTTGCAATCATTTGCTTAGCAAACGATTCTTAGTGGCTCCAAATTCAGGGAGGGAGGGTCTGGAGAGGCTGCACTAAGGAGGGACTTGAGCAAGAGCAGGAACGGGGCATACTTCCCACTCGGAGGACCACTGCCGGGGGAGGGAGGGGGAACAGACGCCAGCAGCTCTGGGAGTGGGCAAAACATGGTGCTGTTCCTTGGCTCTGGCTCGCTTCCACCCATCAGAACCAGGTGTGGGTGGCAGGAAGGAGTGGTGTTAACCATTGAAAGGGGCAAGAGAGGAGATGAGGAGGCAACTTTCTAATTTTTGACAGCAGGCCCCATGTGTTCTCGAGGATTTGTCACTGTAACACTGAATTTCTCTCACCCTTGCCCTCATTGCTCTTGCTTTTCACACAAAGGGGCCATTTCTTGCATGAACAATGGACAACTTGTCTTCCCTCCACATAGGCACGAAGCGGGTGGAATGTATAAGCCCCGGTCAGCCCAGCAAACGCAGGGTTCTTGAAGGGCTGCAGTATCCTTTCGCCGTGACAAGCTATGGGAAGAATCTGTACTACACAGACTGGGAGACGTACGTAGGCTGCTGGGTGTGGGGGCGGCTGGCTTGCCCTCACCCTGTCACCCTCTGTCTCTGAGAGGCCAGAGCCCTTCCAGTTGGCCTCTTGGCTTGACCTTTGAGCCTCCCGAGATAAGTCCCCCTCTCCCTCACCCTTCTGGTTGTCAGTAGACAGGCAAGGGTGGTGAAAAAGAAGGGAGGGCAAGGTACCTGGAGGAGAAGGAGGAGCAGGGGGTGTCGTTTATTTCTTATCTGGATGCTCTTGGCTGGGCAGCTTCCAGTTTGTAAACTCGGGCTTCCTAAGCATGTTGTTCTCTCCCCAGGAGCTGGCTCAGGGTCACTTGACTCATGGGCTTCATGCCTCGGTGCTCCCTACCCCATTACAGTTCTTAACCACAGCCCCTTTGTAGCCACCCCTTCCTTCAACCAAAAACAAACAAACAAAAAACCCATTGCCACCAAGTAGATTCCGACTCAGAGGGGTTAAACCAAGGAACAGGGGCATCTCTACAGAAAGCTGATTTCTCAGCCTGGAATTTAGAGTGGGAGGGGAGAGCTCTCTGGGATTTGTCCTTTTTTTAAGAAGCTAGAGAAATGGGTGAAACATGGTGCAGTTCCCATGCGCATCAGGTAGAACTGCAGGTTTGACCGACTGCAGGAGGAGGCAGGGCTATCTGGGAAGCTAGGCCCTGGTGTCTGTTTATGGCTTCCAATTTGTCCTCAAAACCACAAAAGGGATGCCCTGTAGAGAAAAGGTCAAACCATCAGATAAGTTTTTATTCTGGTGCTTTGTAGGAATTCCGTGATTGCTGTTGATCTTGCTATTTCCAAAGAGACAGATGACTTCCACCCCCACAAACAGACACGGCTGTACGGCATCACCACCGCCCTTTCTCAGTGTCCACAAGGTAATTCTCTTGTGCCCTTTCTGTCTGGTGGCTGGGGCTATCCTGAAGCTCAGAGACCACACTGGCTGCAACCTGCACGGCCTTTGATCACACGGTAAGGGAGACGCAGTCCCTTCTATCAAGGAACTTAACCATCAAGTGGGTGAGCCAGATTTTTTAAAAAAAAAAAAAAGAAAGAAAACAGGGAATGAAGTGAACAAGGGTGAGGAAAAGTACTGAATCCTGGGCTGGGTCTAGAAGTATAGTGCCAAATAGGAGCATTAATGTTAGGATCTTTAAAATGCCATCATCATCATTATGGCAAGCTTGTATATAGTACTTACTGTGAGCTAGGCACTCTATATGTATTAACCCACGGTTCTGAGTGCTTTTTAGTCATTAATGCATTTAATTCTTATAGCAACCCTATGAGGTAGACACTATTATTATGCCCGTTTCCTAAATAAGGAAACTGGAGCACAAGTTGGTTAAAAACTTGCCCAGGGTCACACAGCTCATAGTGGCAGAGCAGGAGGTAAGTCTAGGCAACCTGGCTCCAAAGTCTGTGCTTTCTGCTTCTCGAAGACTTCTCACTAACCCACTTTCCTGATTGGCTTCCCTCCTCTCCCCTAGTTGAGCGAAGCCAAGATAGAGAATGCTTTGTTCTTTGTACTTTAAAATTCCAACTCCGTGTTATAATCAGAGGTGGAGACCCTTCCCTGAGATGAGTTTAATAACTGGTAGTAAATCTGCATAGTACCCCAATCGGGAGTTAGTGCTTTTGCCTGTCTGGTTTAATGATAGGAAATTGACAATAGATAAGCTTAGTTAGTACCTAATACAGTGTTTCCTGTTCCCCTGGAGCTTCCACAGGCTTGGACTCATGGAAACCAAAAACGGGGTTAATGAGGATCCTGGGCTCTTAGATGACCATTCACTCAGGTCTGAGGGCAGGCTATTGAACCTATTTCTACCTTTCCCAGGCCGTAACTACTGCTCGGTGAACAACGGTGGCTGCACCCATCTCTGCTTGGCCACCCCAGGGAGCAGGACCTGCCGTTGCCCTGACAACACCCTAGGAGTTGACTGTATTGAGCGGAAATGAAGACAGGAGCACTCGTTCCCTCTCCAGGCATTTTACAGCAACACCCTACTTGAAAAGATCCAGACTGAAAACTGTCCTCTGGCAGAGTGGCCACCAGGCCCAGGTCTAGCCCAGCCTGAGCCCTGACAACTTTACACTCACCATGCCCCAAAACATACACCCTGGGTTTCTGTACTGGGAAAGCCTCTACCCCTCCATCAGGACAGAAAACCTTCCTGGCCTCAACCATCAGATAAGCTTTTACAGCCCCAAGTGAGGATTGTGTGCCCCATCCCAGTCCCCTGGAACCTTTTCCCAACCTTAGCCCCCATGTGGAGCAGAACTCTCCAGGCCTGAGGTGTCTTTCCCCTGTGGCCTTATGAGCTCAGCCTCACTCTGAGCCACTTACCATCCTGTCAGCCCTCAACACACCAGCCAGGACTCCCCCTAGGCAAGGTTGTGAGTGAAGGAGGGAGTTAGCCTTTCCACACTTTTTCTCTTGGTGCTCTGATGTCCGTTTTTATACTCCTAGCATTTTACATCTCAGCCCTTTGCCACCTTCATCCTGCCCAAGTCCCCATTATAGTGAGCATGCCCTGCCTTTAGATAAAAACCCACCCTGTCCTAGGGATGTATAAGTATTTCATGAATGATAGTGGGTAGCCCCTCCCAGGTAAGGTATTGGCATTTCAGCAGTAACCTTTAGTAGTCAAAACCTTAAATCAGAGAAGTGTTCAGTGGTAGGAATTTCAAAGTGTAGAATCAGATTTTTGAGGATAGGGAGTTCCTTTTATGTGCCTTAAATTTCACTGAAGACTCAGCTTACTCCCCTTTTCTCAGAGCACCAGCCTCCAGCATCTGTTCTCCTGGGCAGCACAGCCCCACTGCAAGTGCCAGTGTTCAGTCACTTCATGGAAAACATCTGAGGCAGAGGCTGGGACTAGTAGCAGGTGATGACCTACCACAGTCTTGCCTCTGACCTCCACTCCTGGGAGCCAGTTTACAAGCAATGAACTTGCTTCTTTGTTTCTCCAACTACCATGGCCCTTGCTGTCTATCATGGAGCCTGCTGTGACCTCAGTCCAGGAAGACTGAATAGAATATTTAGACTAATGGTCCAGATCTTTTATTGCTCATTAGTATAATTAAAGAGACCATTGTTTTATTTCATGCTTATGTTTTTACGATTTGGCTGGTAAACATCTCCTGACCATGTATTATCTTTTTATCAGCTGCTTCCCAGAGTCTAAAAATAAAAGAAATTTTGGATCCAAAGATGAGTATAAGGAGTTTGAGCCAGTAAAGTATGGAGTAAGGGAGTAGAGAAAACTCAATGAGAAATATCACAGAGATAATCGATCAAGAGCAGGAATGGAAAACCCAAGAGGGAGGGGATTTAAGAAAAGAAGAAAAACCTTTCAGTAACTCCAAAATGATATATTTTGCCAAAGAACACTTATACTTGAGCACATGGAAGAATCTGCCTGATTTTCTCCTTGGGGAAGGGATCTCCCCACTTCTCTTCAGACTCCAGGACACTCAGCCCCACTCACTCTCACCCCACCCCTACCCTGCATTTGTCCTCACCTGCTTCTTGCTGAGGCAGAACATTGGAACCGAAATTGGTAGAGAGTCTTTCCTTGAATAATTGGAGTTTGTTTTGAGAGACAAATATATCCCCAAGGATCCCAAGATTTGGGGAACATGTGGGTCTTTTATATAGCCCAACCTGTAAGTCAGTTTCACTTTCTTTATATATTTATCATTCTGTATCAAGCCCTCTGTATCAAATGTTCATCTGATTTTGTATAATTTTTATAACTGTTTTATTCATTTTAATAGGTTCATTCTAAACTTTTACAAATGATAAATTCTTAAACTGTGGAAACCATTGAAGGTGCTTATTAAATGTTCCCCCAGATTTATGCAAGTATTGGATGATTCCTTGCGTTTACAGGTGTACAAGTTATTAGTACAGAAAAACAAATTGTTTGTTAAAAAGAAAATCTTCCTCTTTATGAATGAAGAGATTTAATGCTGGGAGGCTGATTGACAATGCAAAGACAGGCAGACATTTAATAATCTGAAAAACCTATGTAACCCAGAGACTATTACCCCCAGTGTTATAAGGGGTGGTTAATTTCTCATGACAGTTTACAAAAGACTCATGAACTTGTAATTGATTTAAAAATGAATTTATATGATAGACTCCAAACCACCCTTTTCAACATTGCTTTCATTTTTAAAAAATATGTTTTAGTTGCAGGCAGTAGAAACCATTTCCTCATTCAGTTCTGAAGATGAGCTATGACTTTTTCCCCTATTCACCTCCAGAGGAACAAAGGATGCTTTCCTGACACTGGCCATGGAGTGACACCCTTGGTCTGTCCTAAGCTGCCACCAATGGACACTGCCATCCATGCTGGCTCCTGGGGCTTCTGCTAGGACAGAGTCAAGGAGGAGGGTCAGAAATTGCAGGAATGGGTGCTCAGAGCTGCAGTGGTAGAGAAGGGAATTGTCACCATCAATGCAATAAATGTACAGCCTGCTGATGTGAATTCCTTGAAGGGGACAACGTTTGTTAGGTCATAAAACTTCTGGTGTTTTATTCTGGTCATAAAACCTACTAACCTAAGCTTGGCAAAGTGTTAATCATTGCTGTGGTAGGCAGAACGCTAAAGATGTCCCCTAAGATTCCCGTCCCCTGGTTCTTAAACACTAATTCTAGGTACTGTTGTGAAGGGACTTTGCAGATGTGATTAAGGTTACAAATCAACTGACCATCCAGATGGTCCCTCAAAAACAGACAAGGAAGGTAGAAGAGTTGGAGAGATGAGGTAAAAGAAGAGAGCAGAAGAGATGAGGCAGAAGGGAAAGTCAGCAAGGTTTGAAGTGTGAGAAGGACTCCACTGCTGTTGCCAGCTTTGAAGCCAGAGGAAGGGGACCATGAGCCAAGGAATGTGGGCAGCCTCTAGAAGTTGAGAACAACTCCTGGCCAACAACCTGCAAGGAAATGGGGACCTGGGTCCTATACCTACAAGTAACTGGATTCTGCCAACAACCTGAACAAGCCTGAAGCAGATTCATCCGCAGAGCCTCTAGAAACGGAACGCAGCCCTGCAACACCTAGATTTCGGCCGGTGGACTCTAAGCAGAGGGCCCACTGAGCCATGGTGTGCTGGGACTTCTGACCCACAGAACTGTAAGCTAACAAATGGCTGTCGTTTTAAACCACTGAGCCTGTGGTAATTTGTTAGGACAGTAATATAAAACTAGTACAATTTTGTTAAGGCTGGGTGACAGGTATACAGAGGTTATGCTGGATTTCCTCCACTTGCCCTTCTCCATCCTGATCTGATCCACGTGGACTTCGTCTGTGGGATCCCTTGCCCCCTGGCTTCAAGTAGGCACTCAGCCAGTGAGAACTCCTGGCAGGAGACGGAAGGAGAGAGGAGAGTGAGACCAGGTGCTTATTCCCCCCATCCTCTCCCTGCCAAGGTCACAGGGAGGATGGCCTCCTCCCAGGATGTCCTCTCTACCCACACTCTCTGCCAGGTCCCTGGAACCACTCCCTCCCCTAGTCCCTTTGAGCCTCAGGGAGGTAATAGCCCCCTGTTACTATCCCCTGGGACTGCTCTAGTTCTGAGTACCCCTACTTCTGCTGAGACCCAGACAGATAGAGGAGCTCTACTTTTGTGATCTCTACTTTTGTGTATGTTTGAAATTTTCTTAATTTAGTTTAAAACAATTAAAGAGCTATCTTATAATCACACCTCACATATAATTGTGTCCAATTATGATATGTGTTAGTTACAGTATAACTGGTGGCGGTGTTGACCACCTTCGAGTCCACTCCCAGCTCATGGCGACCCCAGGTGTTACAGAGCAGGCCCCTGTTCCATAGGGTTTTCTTGGCTATAATCCTTATGGAAGCAGTTTGCCAGGCCTTTCTTCTGCTGAGCACCTGAGTGGGTTCAAATCACCAACCTTTGGGTTAGCAGTCAATCGCAAACCACTTGTATCACCCAGGCCCCTACAGTATAACTAAGAGGTCTGAATTACCTAGTTGTAAAAATAAATGTACAAAAAATGTAATATTCTTTATTTCTGTAGTTTTCTTATTTTCAGACTCAGAGACTCCAATGAAAGCTACCTTAATCTGGTCTCTTTGGGAGATTTTTCAGCTCAAACAGTAATTTATCAGTTATCTCTGGTTTCAAATTCAGTTGTATTCAGGGGTATCCTTTATCAGGGTTCTCCTCCAGAGCCACATCCCTAGAACTTGTTGACCTGCTATTATTAGGATGGCCCTCCTCAGCCCAGCCTGGCCCACCTTAGGCTGGCCTTCTACTTTTCCTCCAGGAATGGTGCCTGGGCTTCCCGTGACATTCCTTCCACAGGGATCTTCATAGACCTCGTGGGCGCTGCTCTGCTGATCCTCACTGGTTACTCTCTGGCCCCCTTCTGTCTCCAGCCTGGCTTACTTAGACCCTGGTGGCTCCTTCGGCCCTTCTCTGCCCCTTTGTAGACAGGACAAGGTCCAGCTGGCTTTCTTCCCTAAGGGAGGCATTCCTGTCACCTTAACTCCCTGGCAGCCCTTTCTTTGAGGCTGCCTCCTCCCCAGAGGCCCATGCAAGTACTGCCCCTACCAGCTCCCCAATTTCATGGAAGTCTCCACCATGAGTCTCCCTGGGGGTTGGGAGTGGGGGGCAGAGAAGAGCATGACCACCATGTGATCTCATCTCCCCTCTTCCCTCCTCCTCTGCTCTGATCTCTGATGGGGGCACAGTGGGTGGGAGGCCTCCTGAGCCTGCAGCTACAGTCTTGCAGGCCTTTTCTGCCTTATACCTTGTCCACTGTCATTCCAACAACAACCCTCCTGGGGCAAATGGAGGCCTCGGCTGTGTAATCTCAAAGGCAGAGAATCAAGGGTTGGGGTGTAGAGAGAAAGGACACCCTGCAGGCTAATGCCTCAAAACATTGATTTACTCTATACACACACACAAGTCCAATAAAGAAATGAGGGCAGGATTGATCTGGAAGCTTCTTGGCGGGAACGAGACGTTGGGCCTTAACAGAGAGCCGACACACTATGAAAACACAATACTTCAATCCATAGCCCTAAAGCCAAATGAATTTCCTTCTCTATTAAGCCATTTTACATCAGCACTTACAGCAACTAAATTTTCTTTCCTGAGGAATAAAGGTTGTGGGTTCCAATTACTAGGCCCAGGAGGGTTTCCAC